ACATACAAGGTAAACATGAACAACAGGCATTGCTATAGCTAGTTATGTAAATAGTCACTAGGCTACACCTTCACTTTTGTGAGGTGTATACAAGCAGATACCATTCATATCCTGCATAGTTGTGCCAATGGCAGTAGTAATAGCTAATATTTTGATTATGTTAAGTGGAATAATTAAAAATATTAGTAATCAGAAATGTTAATTTTCATTAGTTGATTATATTCATTGACACTAATTAAGCTGAATAACATTGTTTTATTCTAAAATAATGGGGAACCATAGTAGCAATGTTTCAATTAATTGGATAGTTGGAATAATAATGATAATAAAAAAAAAAAGTAATTATTGAAACACTAATTTTGATTTGTTGATAAATTTGTGAAATTGATTTTTTGTATTTGGCATTCTCTTCACTTTTATTATTGATGCCATTAGAAATTAACTTATTTTGTGGTAATTTTATGTTTTTGTTTTACAGTTGACTTTACAGTTAGCCAGTCAACATACAATTTCTCACAGGAAATGAAAGGATTATCGTAACTGTGAAATATTTCTTAAGATAAATTTGGTGATAAAATAGTCCCCTCTTTAGAAAAAAAAAAGGAATTTTTTTTTCAACATCTTAAGTTTAATATTCACATTTTTTGAGTGTGTGATTAATATCACCAAATTAATTCACAACTCATTTCTTTTACCAATGGCTAATTTACAAATGAATATAAGGAATATTCTGATCCTGAATTTCAAAAAGCTCCATATTAGTTTACAAGTAGAAACATTTCCTAGATGTATATCACAAAGTAAATGCTGCAGAATATCAAAGCTGAGGTATTGGATAAAGAGTGATAATAAATTCAATGAAGTTTTATATAATGTAAGCGTACAGGTAACAAAGGCTTAAAGAAAATGGCTATAAGGTCCTGAACTTAATGCTTTTCCCTTCAAGACACCATACAAGAAGAAATTCACTACAGTTTGTTCCTTTTTGTGTTATAACGTAGTTTTGAAGTTTTATTTAAGGGTGAAGTGTAGTCAGATATTTTGCACAGTCACTGACATATCTTTATTAAAATTCAAACAAAGAAAAAAAAAGAAAGATTGACGTATAAATAACTATGTTACTTCCTACACATAAAATGCAGGAGAGAAACACACAATTATGGGAAAATGGTTGTCTAAGTATATAAAACTCTTGCAAACTGACTGCTTAAAAAAAACATTAGTTTATTTTTCTTATTTGTTAGGTTATATACATTCTAGAAGAATTACAAAAAAAACTATTTAACCAAATATGCACAGGGTTGATCAGTTGGATCAACCCCTTATAGAAGGAATGTTCACAATAATTTTGTATTTGTTACGTGTATCTGCATGAAATGTGGTAAGATTATTGTAAAATGTATAAATTTGTTGTGCAAAAAAAATCAGACTTATTACAAAAGTATTTGTACGCAAGATATGTCTGTGAACTGATAATATCAGACTATGACAGATTGGAGTGCAAGGTGATGTTCATGTGAGGAAAATTAAAATAACTTTTGTCCATTTTTATAGTTTGCATATTGTACTCGCATAACCTCTAGAACTTCCAAAATGCATATCTTCAATTTTTTATTTATTTATTATTTTCTTTAATATTGGTGTATATAATATCTTGCACTTACTGTTCCTTTACCATGAACTGATGCTAAATCAGCAGTATACTGTAAAATGACTTCATACATACCAATGGTGCATGTTGAATCACACTGTAAAAAGTTGTAGCTCACACACACACACACTCCCAACTGTGAACTTAGGGTTAAGATGTGGCAATATGTAGAATATACAGTAATCTGCAAGTGCCAAAATTGCTGCAAGAATTACTGAAAGATTGCATTGATTTTGTAAAATGAAAAAATATTTATAGATTTTTTTTTCTATATGAAGTGGTTGAAATAGGACTAAATGTACTTACTTTCAAGAAGTTGAGATACTTTTCCAAATCCAAATTCATTGTGGTTTCTTCTTTATAACTTGTGTTCTTTATTTCAGCTCCCTATTTATGCAAAAATTAATTTCCTGTAATGTAAGTTATAGTAAAAAAAGGAATTACTGGTATAAGCAATAGCATGTAAAGTACTTTTTATCCAGACAAAAATCTGAAAAAAGTTTGATCTGTATAGGATAAACACTGTATACCTTTTACTGATAAACACAACACATGGGAACTGAAGTGGTGAGAAAAATATAAGTAGGAGAACTGAGATATCTAATCATGTTTACCTACAAATGTTTATCAGTGCACTCTCCACAATATAGAAATTTCTAGTGTCCTGTTTTATTCTATAGACTTTAGCATTATCAGGGCTCAAGATTAACTATAGCAAATTGCTGGTTAGTGTTGCAGATTTGCTAATAGAATATGGAAGGCCTTAAAAAAAATTGCTAACACGTTTTAGAAGGAAAATTTGCAGATTCATAATGTTGAGTTTCAATACAACCATGATACATGCATTTCTGTCATTTATATTTGAAGATTTTGAGTATGGACAGTTAATGTAATCGTGATTAACAAAATTGTTTCACGTACTACCTATGATATGGAGATGGCATGAAAATAGCTTAATTCATTTGATTGGTTGCCATGTACCAGCCAACTAGACTTGCATCATCAAACCTTTACAGTCCAGTTTTGAATGGTTACAAATACTATGCCCATTTGTTTATTCATTGGAAGTAATAGAGAAAAAAAAAAAGAATTTGTGTAAACTGCACAAAATGGTTATGCCAAAGGCTAATGAAGAATTAGAAAACAACAGGCCTAACATTTGTCTTAATCATGGACAAATTGAGAGGAATATGGAAAAAATATGTGCAATTTACACAAATTATTATTTTTTCTCTATTACTTCCAATGAATAAAGAAATGGGCATAGTATTTGTAACCATGGGACCTCAAGGCCATAATTTACACTCCAATTTGGTTTTGTTACTTATTTTTTCCTGGTTTTATTTTTTTAACTAAAGAAGAATGATTCCTGCCTAACTCTGAACCACTTCTATCTTGTTGTGTAGATGTTCTAGCATTATGTCCATCAAAATATAAATGTGTGTATTTTTATAGTTAGTATGGAAACCAAAAAATAACATACTTTTGGGTGGATGTAATCCCATCCTTACTTCACTCATCTTGCTATATCAGTAAAAATTTGACTTTGAATTGCTCATTTGAGTATCTTTACCTTGCACAGTAAATGTATGTATGTAAAAACTTTTGTTTAGTAGAGATATCCCATGAACTTAAATACTTAATAATTTTTAATTATAAGTTTTTGATAACTTACTTCCTCATTACACTAACCACAACTAGCTTGTTCTTCCTATAGTAATATTTTAGATTTTTTGACATAGCATGATGCTGCAATTCAACTCTATACCTATTCTATAAATATACATAATGCAATAATGCTAATAATTTCTAGCCATATCTATATCCTACTTTTTTGTGACATATATTTCACTCTATTAGATGAGGTAATTTGTATTTGAGTAGCTTATAAGTCAAATGATTTAATACTTTCATATCTTTTACATTGTTTTAGTTTTAAAAATATTACTTAGGCAAACTTTAATTAGTTAAATACTAACATATTTTTAGCTAGCAAAGCATCTTATTCTCAAAAATTATTAGCTTTTAGTGGTAGATTGCTTGTCTTGGTTAGAAATTTTAAAACTGTTTGCCAAATTATTTTTATGCTTTACAAGAAACTTCAACTATGTGTTTGACAGTGTGGATAAAAATGTTCAATGTTTATTGAATTTGGGTGGCCTTGACCTATTTTATTGTCAAAGTGGGCTGTTGATTACATTATGCAAATATATTGCTATTATAATGATCTTGTTTTTATTAGAAGTATAGGGTAACAAATATTGTTACTGTAATTTAAATTATCCTGTTGAATTAAACTATTAGCAAAAAAAATGTTAAAATTTTAGACTATTTGGGTAATATGCATGTACAGTGCTTGACTCCTTTTTGTATTTATATAGTGGTAATTTTATGTTACGTATAACACTATAAATCATGTATTATTATTAAGGCCAAAAATTATTGTCAGATGGTTAAGCTATAGAAAATATACACAATCTATGTATGCATTCAAGTATATGGTATTGGTTTCTCCTGATCTTGTCCTTTATGGGTTTATAATACGGGCATCTGTTAATTACAAGTATTGTATTAAAACAGGGTGGTGGCTATAAACATCTTCAGTATTTGTACTACTGTGATATTTAAATATTGAAATTTAAGATAAACTCAAGTTTATTGCACTTTTTAACCTTTACGTAAAATACCCGGCGATAATTATGTACATTGCTGTTTTCAGCAAGATCATGTACTAGTTGTGTATGTTTTCTAACACGCAGTGTGCATTTACTTGCGTTATACAGAAAAAACAATATTTGTGTTAATTTAACATCAAAGAAGAGAAACATATTTCAAATGGTATCTATTGACACAAACACACACACAAACAAACATATATATTCCTTTAAGAATGTAAAGGAAAAGAACAGAAGAGACTTGTTTGCTTCAGTGTCATTAAAAGTAAACATTAAAAAAATTATACCAGCTTAACTGAAAGCTACATTATTTATAATTACTATCAGAAAGAAACTGTTTCTGATAAATTGTGTAAATTGTTTATTTTTTTTCAGGGATTCTACATATTAATAAATGATTCAATACTGAAAATATTTATAGTTCTTGGACAGTAGGTACAGTAGTGCTTGTATGCACTGCATGTGCACGTGTAGTCTCAAGCTACTTGTATTTTAAAACAGATACCTTTCCTGAAGACTATTTTAGATTTTTAAATCCCTTATGATTTTTCTATTTTTGCTAAACTTTTTAGTAATTTCTGTTAACAAAATAATTAATTGTTGTTGCTGGTATGTAAAATTCCTTTAAAAACAATAATTAGATGTCTCTTTTTTTTTCTTTGTGTTTATTTCAGGTTATTACATTTGGCTATAGTTCAAGAAACAGTTGAAATAAGTTTTGCACTCATTCGTTTTGCAATGCATCCAGATATGTTAGATATTTTCAATCATTTATCCCAGGTAAGAAAAATCTTTATATTGATATAATTTTAGTAAAACTACAGATGTGTGTGTATGGTGAATTAAGATATTCAGTAAAAGAATGACTGTATGTATTTAATGTTGACTTTTATGTACTGATTTGAATATAAATGTTTTAAGATTGTTTTTTTCTTTGAATGTAGCACATGGCATTCAAGTACATATAGATGAAGTATGTCTATAAACATGATTTATTATTATCCATCTCCCCCAAGATTTTTTTACAAGCATTTCTAAAATGTTACAGTGCTCAGCTTTTATATACCAAAATTTATCATCTAGAAATAAAATCCTAAAATTTAGAAAAACAAAATCTAACTTCTTTTTTTCATTTTTTTTTCTGTCCTGTGGAAAGATAACCTCTGCATACATGTGAAACATCCACCAAGGATCAGCATTTTATGTTGTAGTTAACATTAGCTGGTTGTTATGGATCTTACTATATCAAGTATTTATTTTTGTTACAGACACCACTACATCTAGCTGTTCTCACTGGTCAGTATAGAGTAGTGAGGAGGTTAATTGTGGCAGGAGCAACAGTGGACATGAGGGATCGTCATGGAAACACGGCATTTCATATAGCATGTGAACGAGGAGATATGGAATGTCTCAGAGCATTAACTACACCCGTTACAGAAAATGAGGTCATTGAAGCGAACTTACAGTATCCAGTTGATTTGCAGTACTTAACTCCAGACTTTTTAGAACATCGAAACTATGAAGGTTAGTGTTTTTATTGGATCTTGATGTTCCTATGTAATTTTATTCTGATGAAAAATTTATGTTATATGGTGAAATGTATGTTGAGCAAATGTAGGTGGGAAAGGTTACTAAACATGCATGAAATTTACATAAGTATTACTGTCTAAAAGCTTGTTCAGAGTTGTCAGGAAGTTATGACATGCTTGCATTAAATAATGCATGTTTGTGTTATTATATCCTCAAACTGTTGGTGTCATAAAAACAAGGCTGTATCTCGGACAATAGTATGTATGTGGGTTAAATGTACAATGTAATTTTCATCCTGTTCTACTGACAGTAGTTTGGTAAAATAAGCTTCAAATATATGTATTATAACTATTTTCATTACTCTGTGTCTGGCCTAATAGTAACTTAAAAGATAGGCAAGCAGAACCATTATTTTCTGGGCTACACATGGCTGGAGCAGGGTCACAAAAGCTAAACTGGTAACCTACTTTTTGGGTTTTTCCTATGGCAGCAAAATAAATAGGTCATTTATTAATTTTTTCATTGACTGTGTTATTTCTATTTCTTTTCATCTTATTTAAACTTTGTAGAATGTTTTTTAATGTGGAAATTTGAAACTGAAAAAAAATATTCTTAGGGCTATAGTAAATGTCATAAGTATTTCACATTTGAAGGTTTTTTTAAAAAAATATTTATGCATGTTTTTAGTATGTTCTGTGTGTGAATCATTAGTATTTAAAGAAATATGTAAGGTGACATAACTTTTTGAGGTAATTGCTTGATCTTCTATGTAATTGACATATAATACTTTGAATGTCTTGGAGTTTGTTGGTAGTGTATAGCCTGTTATCTATTTTTATTAATTTTTGCATGGGAGTGTACTTGTTTTCAGTTTGAAATTTTTTATAGTGTATCTTATAGCATATGAAAAACTCTTTAGAATATTTCAACTTGCAATCAATTAGAATATTAAATTTGTTTCATAAAAGCAATCCAAATGAAAGTAATGTAAGAAGACAAAATTATTTCTTCTCCTTATGACTAACTATATCAAGTTAAAATGCAAGATTTTTGTTTATAGTTTGTAAACATGTTTGCTTAACTTTAATTACTGTTCTTACTGTTGCATAAATAAACATATACAAATATATTTTTTAAACAACTTTAATGATTTCACCAGAACATATACATGTAAATTTTTAAATGTGTTAGGATTCAAAATAAATGTGCTTTTCTTTTCTGAAGGTCAAACCTGCCTACATCTAGCAGTGCAACAAGGTCATATGGATGTGATTAGATATCTTGTTCAGTGTGATGCAGATGTGAATGGGAAAGTAAGAATAATTTTTGCCCTTTTTTTTTTCCATGGATATTTTAGTTTATGAAGTAATATTTTTGTTATCATATTTTTATATTTATTTATGTTCCTGCTCCTTCTCCCTTGTGGAGAACTACATGAATTCATTCTTATCATAAAAAAAGTTATTTCAAAGTTAAAGTAAAATTAATTGATTTTTTTCCAGTTTTTAAATCTTCAATGAAATTTGGAAATTCTGTACATTTCTCTATAATTAACACATATTCCCTTTGAAGCTATATTGCAAGAAGTATTAAAAGATATTCAATCAATTCCATAATATCTTTAATTTCTTTAGTGTTGAAATAGTGCTGAGGTAGGCTATGAAAAATATCCTTTAGGTAAGCCACTGTTAGTACATTCCAGTTCTGTAAGTACAGCATCTTAAGTGGCTACTACATTTTTCAGATACAATACTTGTCATTATATTTTTAGGAGTATTTACAGTTATCTATGATTTAGTGAGAAAAAACTCATTTGAGGTATTAAAAAAAACTAAAACATATTTACAGTTATTCATATCAGTATTTCAACTTAGCTGTGTCTAGGATAATGATTTGACTAAAACTTTTTTTTTCTGTTTTGAATAGGAAGGAAAAAGTGGAAGGACATCTTTACATTTGGCTGTCGAAGCCCAGAGAGATGATCTAGTCCAGTTCCTTCTGAATACATGCCATGCTGATGTCAATATCCAAAACTATGCTGGTCACTCTCCACTACATGTAGCTTGGAGCATGTATCAACTAGCACCTACATGTTCTAAACTGAAAAACACTGTTATTATTTTGAAAAACCATGGTGGAGAGCCAAGAAGACCTCCTGAAAGTGATATTGACTCTGACAGTGATTCCTCTGGAGATGAAGTGAGAGCAGTTTAATTCTGCTCTTAGAATGCTTGTATTTAATTGTTGGTGCATTTCTATGTTGTACTGCCATAATGCAGCTTTGTGTTGATAGTAATGGAGATTTGCTTTTCTTGTTATAAAAACTGTGACCTTCAGAGTTCTTAATGGTGTGCAGAAACATAATGTTCATTCCTCTCCACAACTACAAAAATGAACTTCTAAATGACTATATATATGCTTGTGACATGGATTTCATGTATCTGTAGATGATCTCTTGTACGAACAATTAAAAAAAAAGGGGTCAATACATCTTAAGTGTAGGAGAAACATCCAACAAATACACAGAAATGATGAATTCTACTAGATTATATATATAGACTTTTCAGTGTCTGTGTGGTTTATCATTTGTCTTCTTGTTGAGCTTTTCTCATTTGATTTTCATAGTTATTTCAGGTTTGTAAAAGTTTTTGTTCTAAGGAAATAAGATATTTCTCTATATAAGGAATGCTACTTTGGGTATTTAATTTACATGACATTGTTTATTTAACGAGCTTTAATACAATTTTTATCTCGTGTGTCAGTGTGTGAGCATGCAATGAAGTTAGGTTTTTTCAGCATATCCCAGTTTAGAAATCTCGGATGTCTATTGTAATTGCTTTTGTTTTGTATATGAATTTCTTTGATTTATAAATTATTTGAAGAATTTAGTAAGCCTGAAATATTATTTGAATATCTATCGTTTTATTGAAAGTAGTAAAAATGTAGACTGAAAAAAAAGCTAGTTTTAATAAAGCAGTTGTGTAAAAATGAAATGCCAAATTTGAAGACATCTTTAATTTGTTGTAGTAAAATTCAAATAGTGGATTGTTGTGTTGTAAGTATTTGCATATGTGTTTGTGTGTGCTGTTAATTCTTAAATGTGTCACTTTATTTGATGTGGAGTAGAATGCTTAATTATCTATGAAAATAGATGACGTTTTTAAGTAGAGTAAGTATTTCTACCATACATACAAATAACTGAATTATGAGATATCTTCAGATATATATATAGATCTAATTGTTAATAGGACAGATAAAATAATTCATAACTAAATCTGCTTGTATTTTTACTAGTTATGCACATTTGAATAAGAGTACAAAGTCTGTTAATGGCATGATAGGAATTTCAACTATAACTATCAATCACAGTACATAATCATCAGATAAACAAAGTGTACTTGGAAAAAGTTGTAAAATAGATATGTAAATTATGTTAGGAGTAACAATGTCAGAAATTAATATTTACTTAGAAGTATCTTTTAAACCATGATACAGAAAATTTTAATTTGTTTACTAGATTGAAAGCATTAGGCACAAGCAAACAAGCTTATACTTTGAGTTCTGTTCATATTCATAGCATATTAGTGTTAAGATTTCTCTTTGACAAGTAACATTTTCAACTCTACAATAACAAATTTTGAAAATTAAATCCACTAGTATTTTTTTTCTTGAAAAAACTAACCACCATTCTTGTAGTTCATGATGCTTATTATTATTTTTGTTGTTGTTGTTTTTCTCTTAAAACCCTTTAAATATTTAATTTTGAAAAAATAGTGTTCATCCAAGGGTAGATTGTGGTTATCAGAAGTTGAGTGAAAGTGAAGAAGTTTTAAAAATCTTTAAATTATCAGATTAACACTAAAGTGTAATTAGAATTTTTATAGATATTTCGGTAAGACTTTTTTCAGTTTCTATAAAGTGTAGAAGACCTTTGAAGACACAGTTTTGACAGTATGTACATAACTAGCTGCACAGTGTACATAGTGTAATAAATATTAAATCTAATAAACTCTGGAGGAGTGTTCAATTATTTTTTTCAGTTTAAATTGTATTCAGATTAGTTTTGTACAAGTTTCATGTTCTGAGGAACTAGATGTGAATGTTCTGACTCTTTAAGTTTCAGGTTTGGTGCAGAAAGCTTGCCTAACCATTGGGTTGGTTGTAGTTGTTGAAACTAACAATTATAAAAGAAAACATTAGGCATACCAATCAAAGTAACAGAACCACCAAAGTTTCTTTTTGTAACTGTACCTTACAACATTTTAATTTTTTTATGTATTTAGTTCTTTATTGTTGATACAACATGGCATGCAAAATGTCAAGTTCTATTTGCTGAATATTAAATAGTTGAGTTTCATGTTTTAGTATTTAAATGTTGGACGTTAACAGGGCTAATTTTGTAACTAAGTACTGTCTATGCTATCTGTCATCCTCATGAATAAAATATTGTTGTTGAATCTTTTTACTCTTGTGAATAGTTTTTTAAAAGCTTATTTTAACCAATAATATCCCTCGAATGTCTAAATAACACATTTTGTCACCATGTAGACAGAGACTAACTTTGTGTAATGCAGTTCTAAAAAGATTTTTTTCTATTCACTGATGCACAAAATAGTGCATTTGTTGTCTAATAACCATATAGTAATGGAAAGTAAGGTTTATTCTAATTTTTCGTTGTACTCTGGTGATTAATGCTAGATTTTCTGTTTTTGGTGTGTAATTTTATTGAATACTATTCATGCACATCTAACTAGTTTCAAGTTTTCTGAGCCCTGGGCAGGAGGTAGGCCAGTGAGTACCATGGCCAGGAGAGGAACTTGAATGTTTGTGGCCTCTGCCCTATTAATGCAAAACTGCTTCACACTTTTAAGCTGTGAGTGCCCATTAAAATGATGATCCAATCTCATTGTTTGTTAGATGTAGCAGTTTAACATACCTATTTATACTATTGTAAATCATAATTATGCTGGTGACATTAGTTTGGCTACAAACTGACTGCTTGTTGCCTATAGCAATAAACTAGACTGGAAGTTGTATGCACAAAAAAACATTTGTTTTTTTAAGTAAACCATTAATCTAGAAGTCTGTATAAAAGATGTGTTATTTACTTTCTAAACTGTAAAGGGGAATTAATAAAAGGTAGTTGTACATTGTACAAGTAACAGCTGAGGAAGTCCAGAGGTGGAGACCCTGGGTTTTTCCCTTGATTCATACCACAGTAACAACACGTGACTTCTATAAGGTAAGCTCCTCAATCAAGTTGATAAGCTTGTTTTGATTACTCGAAGCTATGTATGTTGTAAGATTATTTGGGGGGGGGGGGGTGATAAAATTTAGTTTACATAGATACCAGGTACATCTCTTATTTCTTTGATTAGATTTGTTCAAAACGAATGTTAAGTACATATTTAACGATTTGAAGTGTAAGTATGAATATGGAACTACAATCAACAAAAAAAATCAGCATTTGCCACCTACTTAAAATGTATTTGATCATCACACAATGAGGGACAAGTTGCCTATTGTGTTGCTCGGCATTTTACTGAGGAACAAACTTTGCTGCCTAAGTTTATCAAATTAAGACTCAACCTACTAGCGCGGGCAGTCAGACACATGACGCCAAAACTGCTTGTGAATGAGGAGTGTTTTCACAAGGATTGCTCAATGCCCATCTGTATATGCTGGTTCCGAATATTACGTCTTTATAAGAACTTATGAATTTGGTCATTAAATTTTTACTGACTAGGCATAGTAAAGTATAGCTGTGTATTTCTCCAAAAGTTTATTCGATGTTGTATACTAAAAGGAAGTGTTCGCCAGTTCTTCTGAATGATAGTAAAGTTAATTCAAATAAATAATTAGTGTTAATAATGAAATAAACAGTATTGTGTTATTAATTCTTACCGTAATTCTGATTTATAGGTGGCTTAAAAGTTACTGATTCGATTTGCTATTGTAATGCAACCGATTAGTTTATGAAGTTTGTAACAATGTAACCGATTAGTTTATGAAGTTTGTAACATCTCGGACGATTTGGGGCACATAATCTAGTTGAAATCTATTCACCCGTTGATTCGCAAGTGTGCGATCACACAAGGTCTTGTAGAACTGGTGTACTTCAACTTCCTACTTTGTTAGAATCACATCTTTAGTTGTTTACGTAAAATAAGTTATAAAGTATCTGTATTTATAAGGTTCTGTTATGTACGGAAAACATACATTGTTACTTTTGTCTGTCAACCTACAGACTATGTGATATGAATAGTGCCAATGACCCAAGTTTGAATGCGTTTTACCACCCTAATGTAATTGTGCTACAATTATCTATGTCTGACAGACGTTGCAGGTTTAACGTAATTCTGTGAACTTAAGAAGTGAAAGCAAAGAAAAATATGCAATATGTCAAATACATTATATCTGCCATATCCAGCGCTGACCAAGTCGCTCAATACCAGGGCTTATCAAGTCGGCTGGGAACACAGTGGTCTAGGCTCAAGCTATATCATCAATCGTATTAACTAAATTAATTGTAATTATTATTAACACATTTATTAATATTTTTGTGGTAACATTTATTTCGATTTTTTTATATTGGTATAAATATTTCTTTTCATTTGTTTCCCACTGGCCTCAATAAAACGTAATTTCACTACAAATAACCTTTTGTCATAATTTTACTCGTTGTTTTATCCGTCTTAGCTTAGGAAGCTTCAAGTATCGCAAGAGACTACCATTATTATTCCCTGTATCTTTCTCTCTCTTTTTTTGTGGCTGAATTCCGTCACGTTAATCTTGCGATATTAGATATGTTTCATACTATACTGTTGTTTCCTAGTATTTGGGCGGTAATCCTGCAGATTTATACTTCTAGAATTTGGGGCTCGATTCCCATAGTTGACATGGAGCAAATATCCCATTGTGTAGCTTTGCGCTAAAACAGAGGAACAAAATAAGCTGTGTTTTTGAATTTAGAGCTTATTGGCTCAGTAGAACGTCGTATAACTGTGTTATTGAAATAAAAAACTAACTCTAAATACTTCTATAAAATACTGGGCCTAGATGTTGCATATAATTTACATAATCTATACTTTGGCAATAACGAAGCTTTCATGTGTGAGTTGTATCATGACAACATCTATTTCAACTGTAGGAGGCATTAAACCCTGCAAACTACGGATATAACATCAGTTTAAGTACTGAAACATTTTTAACCACACACTTTTTTTTTTCTCAAACAGGTGAAAATATTAAAAGCACTAATTTCGTTTGATTTCAAAGCAAAACATACCACATCTTAATCGCGCTGTATTAGCTATTCTCCTAATTTGTAAATAGTGTGGAAATAGAAATACTCGTAACATGGTGATTAGCGTGCAAGACCGAGGATCGCGCCCCATTACTGCCCAAAAATAAAGATGGTACTCTATACTTCGAAACCGTGGGTGTGTTACAAGAATGACGGTGAAATTCCGCTATTCGGTCTGAGAAGAGATGGTGTTAACTAGTTGTCTTCGCCCAAGTTTATCGTTTCAAAATTAAGGACAGATAGCCCTCGAATAGCTTTGTGCAAAATCCCACAAAACAAAAACAAAAAAAAAAGACGCACACACAAACACTTGTATATTAATATCAAAAACTCGAAGAACGTCTTAAAATAGAGGTAAGTTAAAAATAATGCTCGTTACATTTACTTATTTTTTTATCTAATGTTTCTAAACAAAATTTTAATATGACATTAATCCCTCCCAAGTTTAATAGTTGTGTTTATTTTTTACCGAGGTATCACTCGCGTAAGTGTAATCAATTCTAAGTGAAAACACTACAAAGTTATTTGTTTTTGCTTGACAAGTACGAAGCTATAATGCTGCAAAAAATATGTCAAGTGCATCTTGTAACTTGCTGACTTTCAAATGAGCCTTCTCAAAACACACGTAGGTTTCCATAGTTAGGTGTGTTTCCACGTTTCAAACTGAGAAACTCAACCAGTCTTAAGTTAAAAGGCCATAGTCATTTATATGAGTTGTGTTAACTGATGGCAAAGACGTGCGCATCTTTTTTTCGTGTCATGATGTGTGATTGAAATTTTAAAACATGTGTCTGTTTTCTTTTACCTTTGCAGAACACACATTGTGTCGCTGGAGTTTCTCGTGCACTTAGCGTACTGGAAGAAATGTCATAAACCATCAGTGTGGTCATTTTAGCAGAGACATAAAAACTGTTTATTACCAATAACATAAAGTTAACCGACAGACTTTCTCGACAATGTATTTGGTATGCCTGGAAATCAAATGGTAGCTTTCTTTCGAGAACAGCAAGTAATAGAAGTTTGGAAAGTCTACCACATAACAATTACCAACGACACGCTGATATACTGTAGCTTACGTTTTTACATTTTAGCTTTCAGCGCCATCGTAATAAGTAAAGGAAACAGCTGAGGGTAATTTAGCGTAAATTTGTCCAAATTAAAACCTTTAAGGAACTTCTACATAAATGAAAAATATAAATTAACACATAAGAAAAATCTGGTTCTTCGAAAAGTAAGATATTTATTTCCAATTGATAAATATAACATACAAACAAATTGTTACTTATAGTTTATATGAAAGAAGTATATTTTCCCCTTATTTAGATTTTACAATTAGAAGAACCCTTACATCGTCTAGGACAGAAATTTTGACCAATAAGGAAACAATAAGCGAAGTAAATATGTTGGGCCCAAGGCGATGCCAAGGTAGTTAGTCAAGGTCTCAGGGAATCCCCATGTGTATAGCGCCTGTTGTGAGCGAGTAATTCCCCATTTCTTACATGACAGGGCGGGTATTGGCTTCTACAATGGTTCTCGAGTTTAGAAATGATATTTTCTTATTGGAGGTCAGCTGCAAGATCTGTCTTTTTCTTTTCTCCCTCATTTCTTTAAAGCGCAAAAAAAGAGTGTAAAGCCCTCGCAGGCATCTAAAGGCAGAGGGATTTCCCCGGAAATGAAGAACCGGAACTATTATAGTCATTGCTTTGAACAGTATGCATTGATTTGAACGTGGAGGATGTGACTCAAGTCAGCTGAGCTGTTAAATTAACCAAATTGGTTCTGGCTTGGTAAGTCTGACGAGTCTCGTCTTTCTATGCATTGAGAGGTGTTAATTATGGTGGAAGGGATATTTTTGTGAGTGTAATTTCACATATAGTGGATTTTCTCTAATTATGGAGGCTGTTAACTATTTTTAGGCCTATAAATTATATCAGTTATGATATATAGTTTATTGTTAATTTGAAATAAAAAGCAACATAAAAGTTCATGCTACAAGACAAGAGGTTAGCCTGTTCTGCTGCTGTCTGTATTGTGTCTTATTGTCTACTGAGCATTGCTATGTGATTATACGCCTATGTAGGGAAAGAAATGTTCAATGAATCGAACGTACAAAGAGAATACCATAAAGATATGATTACTTA